CTCTCCAGTAGACCATGTTTTCTCTATATCCTCCAATAAAACCTCTGAGCTCCTGTGGAGACAAAATATATGGCATTTTCCACATGCTTTGCCACCTTCCCTCTGGGTGGGTCCCTTCCTCTCCTGTTGAGAAGCTGCTCTTTAGGGGAACTTTAGGCAACAGCAGCTCTTTGGACCCACTGGCTAAATAATTTTGAGCCTCAAACATATTACCCAACTGCATATTTACACAGCTTAAGGAAGAGCTCTCAAAATATCTTAAAATATAATTAAAAGAATAAAATATTGATTTAGCAGATGTTTTAGTGGGTAATTTTTATGTTCAGAATTCATTTTGCAGTTAGTAATAATTATTTCCAGTTGACTCACAACTATGCAAATTTGTTCATAAAAAAATGAATGAGCAGTGAGATTACAGTGGTATCCATGCACTTGGTTCTCTGGAATAAAAGGGCCTAATAAGAGGAGTTTATCAGGTGGTTTTGCAGGCAGCGTGGAGATGGGAAAAGAGAAGGGCACATTTTTCACCAAAGGCTAAGCTTCATGCACTACAGTTGAAGGATCTCGCTCTTGGGTATAGTTGTTCAAAGATGCCTGGATGTCTTCTCAATAAATTTGACCTGGAACTTTGAGCATATCCTGGCATACGCAGGGAAGTTTGTAAGGACTGGCAAAGTGCAGATCACTGTCAAACCTCACTCCCAGAGGTTTATAAGGCTGGGCACTGAACTCATTTTCAACCAAGCCTTGGTGCTACTGAATGTCCTGCCTGAATCACTGTTCTGCATTCGTAAGGCACTGCACACGGTGGGAGCACCTTGTAGTCCCTCTCCTTGCCTACGAACCCATCCTATGTTCTATTTCCTTCTTCCCTGTTTCCTCCCCTATTAATATTTCCCTTGGGTCATCTGTAAACCTCCAATCCCACTGGAAATAAACACCTTCATATTGTTCAGCATTTTGCAGAACAGTTCCTCTCTTTGGCTTAACTGAATACAAGTTTCTCTCCAACTAATCCCATTTCCTAGCGTGCAGGGTTCCTGATCTCTCATATCCCCAGCTGCAAGAAAAATGTCTCCTCTTAAAGATGTGTCATCTAGTCATCAAAGCTGCCTGTGGGCCACATGGGTAACATTCTAGTTCACTGAGGATGCTGAAGCCTGTCTAATAGCACCCTGCCTCCTCCCACTACTCTTCAATATCCATTTGGATGCCTCAGTCAAGGCTGTGATCTCTGTTTCTTGATTAATTTTACTTCAGTGACCTTTACCTTTGCCCCATTTTTTAAAATTGCAATAGTAACAGTATCAACACTCCCTAGCTATAACCTCTTGTTTCTCTAGCTCTGTCATTCCTTCACATCTCTCATATCCATTCTCTATGACATTAAATTTCCTTCAACTTTTTCTCTTCACCTAGCCTCCTACCTAAGGCTGTCACCTGAGTTCCAGCAGATGGCTCGGTACTCCTCACTCTTTCTAGAGATTACTGTCCAACAAATTCTCCCTATAATGCTCCTCTTACCAAATTCCAGGAATTATCCATTAAAACAAAAACGCATTTTAAAGTGAATTAGAGAAAGAATACAGTGTGAACGTTTAAAGTTATGTGTTTTAAACAGTTTCAAATATTAAGGAAACTACCAGTGTTCTGGAAAACATCAGGATGCTTTGTAATTAGTATATTAATTTATATGAAAATAATGGGTTTCACTTTTCTTATCACAAATTCTGAATTAACAGGGATAATAAAGTTGTGCTATTCTAGCAAACAGACAAAAGTTAAACAGAATCCTGTTATTTCAACCTTTTCGGACAATGGATTACTAAATGGCTTCAATAAAAATTATTAACTACTGAAAAATATTTTTTAATTTCTCCAAAATGGACACAATATTTATTCTCCCTAATGATGTTTGGGTGGTCTGATTTCATACATAAATGTAAAAATGCCTTCTCAATGTGAAGAAAAATCTGAGAATGGCTAAGGAATCAAATGGCTTCCTGAAGGGGTGATGTTTTCAGTTAATCTACTTGAAGTTTTCCAATTATCTGGGCCTAAATAAAATGTCACTGTGAAATTTAAACCTCACTAATATCTAACATAAACCTTAGAAATGTTTATCTTGAAACAAGCCCCTAATTAAGCCAAAAAAAAAAGGATACTTACTTGCAAATTGTAGTCTTGCAATATTTTAACTAAGGAATCTCTCAGATTGGGAATCTCCATTCCTTCCTTAATACGGTGAATCAGCAGAATTGGATCAACATGGGTGCCAATATTGTTCAATAAGCCAGTAATAAATGCTACAGAATACCACACAAAACAACACATAAGCAATGTTACAATGTATTTTATTACACAAAATGCAACTTTAGACCAAAAGTAACTTAAAAAGATTGTTTCTTTCAAAGTAAGTGTTAAAACCACTTGGATTTTTTTATGCCATTTGTAGGAAAATGGATGGAATTTGAGAATATTACATTAAGCAAAATAAACCAAACTTGGAAAGTTGAGGGCTACTGTGTTTTTTTCTTATATGTAGAAGCTAGAGAGAAAAAAGGGAAAAGAAAGGTGTGGGAGAATCTCGTGAAAAATCAGAAGAGAAGGGGAGAGAAATGGGAAATATTGGGAAATGACATTGGCAAAATTATATTGTGCATGTACACATATAACAACAAATTCTACAATTATAATGCACTAATAAATATGGAAAAAAATTGAATTTCTAAGCTCTCAAGAACCAGTTTTCCTTTAAAGTTTAAATTTTCAAGAACTAACTTAAGACATAAAAGAGAAACTAAATGAGAACAGTTTAAAAACAGTTGAACAAATGATCACCTCTATTCAAATCTTTGTCTTCAAAATATAACCAGTACTGTCAAAGGGATGCAACTAATATTTTTGAGAACTTCCTGTGGCTCAGCTATTATATAATATTATATAATATGCCTTGGTATCTTATAAAGTAGAATATTGAGTGTCTCTATTTTACAATCAAAGGAAATAGGATGTTAAATTTACCCAGGTCACAAAATTAGCAAGTAATGAGCTCAAATTCAACCCCAGGCCAGACCCAAGTTCATGATATGGTCTATGCTATTCATCTGGCCTCCTAAGGTCCTTAAACTACTACTTTATCATGTTCAATTAGATTCCTTGTATTTTCAAGACATAAAGTCATCAAGCCAATTTCAGATTATGGTGTAGGAACATAAAGCCTTCCTTACCACTCCCCATCAAAACAAAACAAAAGATTTTAAACCGCACTGCTAGTTTCTGAACCATTTCTACATCTTCAAAAGAGGACTTGGGTTACTGTTAGGTGACTGTTCTTGTTCCAAAATGGGAGGAGAACCAATGCAAATGATCAATCTGAGGGCTGCACTAATAAAATGGGGTAGAAGCTCCTGGTGCTGCACTAATAAAATGGGGTAGAAGAAAGTCTGAATACTATCATGCAAACATCAAAATATGACCAGCATCAAGCAACAGTACCATAAAGAGAGAGTGGCAAAGGTTATGTACTTTCATAATAAATGCCCCCATACACAAACTAAAACCAAAACCCAACCAAGAAATGTGCCTCCTGGGGATACAGTTAAATAAGCTGTAAACCACTTGTTCCATGTCACACCTGGGTGATGCAAAGTGATGAGGCTCCAGCCTTTTCTGCACAGGGGTCTTAGGAATCCTTACAACAGGTCTGCTTGTATTGTAGAGATCTTGCTATATTTTTGACTCAATGTATCCTAAGATAATTCTTATTAAAAAATAACTAGAAAGCAATTAAAATCACAGATGACTTTTCTACTTACGTGGTTTGTCAATGGAATATAAAATTAGATCTTCCCAGAGTTCTCCATCATCTTGCTCCTTGGCAAATTCAATTGCTTTATCAACATCATGCAACTCCTCCATAATCATCTTCAGGGCACTTCGGCTATTGCCCATCCTGCCTATGTTAGAGAGAAACAGCATATTTCTTAATTTGTTTACACAGTTTGAAAGCTAAGACAAAAGCATATTTTCTTCTGTGACATTAGCGTTTACTACCCACAACATGGTAAATATCTTTTGTTAAGTGTTCACTTCATGAAGAGTACTTAAATATTTAAGTGCTCGCATAAATTAATCATTTAGTCATCACTATAATACTATGATGGATGTTCTACTAATGATCTTATTTCACAGAAGAAGAGTAGATATGTTAGGCACTTGCCAAAATCATACAGCTACTAAATAATACAGGTGAAATTTGAGCTCAGGGATGCCAGATTTTACCTGCCTTTTGACAGACCTGTACTTTTTTAGTCAATGTTAATACCTTCACATTCAGATACAATTTACACATTGAGAGACCTTGGAAATCATTCTGCCTCTTTAAGGTGGTTCTGCATTTTGCTTATTGGGTAAAAGTGTGACTCAATTTTCAGTGGGTTACTTCATTTCTTTCTTTTCCAGGTTCTAGGAAAAGCCATTCAATAACCTTCATGAGGGAAAAGTATTTATCAGCTATGCTTCTATTAGCTAATTACTGATCTTTATACACTTTGTTCACTGGTATTTCAATTGTTTTAATAATTTAGATCAGTTTTTACTACACTTCATGTTGAAAGCCTTACTCAGTGGAGGGTGATCAGGCCTCTGCCTTGACTTTGTCCCCTCACGTATGGTTTGGATGTGAGGTAACCCCCAAAACCTCATGTTTGAAACTATGCAAGCATATTCAGAAGTGAAATTACTGGGTTATGAGAGCCTTAACCCACTCAGTGAATTAATCCCCTAACAGGGATTAACTTAGTGGTAACTGAAGATGGGTAGGGTGTAGGAAGAAGAGGTAGGTCACTGGGGGTGCGCCTATGGGCACATATATCTGGTGAGTGGAGTCTCTCTCTTTCTCTGCGCTTCTGATTGTCATGTGAGCTGCTTCCCACTGCACACTCTTCCATCATATGTTTTGCCACATCTCAAGCACTGAGGAATGGAGCCTGCTGTCCATGGGCTGTGACCTCTAAAACCATAAGCCCTCAAACTTTTCCTCCTCTACAATTGTTCCTGTCAGGTCTTTTAGTCACAGTGAAAAAGCTGACTAAAACAATGAGTTACTTGAGGTTATGATCAGAATCCCAAATACACACTTAAGTAACAAAATATAGCCACATAAGCACTTCTAAGGAAGGTAGGTTCCATAACTGGATAGTTCCATGTCTATTGCTGAGCACCCATGGAGCTGCCTGTGCACAAAAGGAAACAGAAGATATGGATCATTTTCCAACAAAGGCCAAAGGCAGTGAGTGTGGTATGAGAGAAAGATGTAAAGTGGTAAAATACTAATGGGGTGGGCTGGAAAGTAACACTAGACAGGAAGCGCACATGAACTCTGCTGTATGCCACCAATTCCTGTACAGGGGTTCCCTGTGAGCCTTTCAGTGAAACCTGCATTGCCCTGATGCATTCTGGAGGAACATGAATAGACAAGAAGTTCTGTGTCTTGGTATGCAGGGTATAAGAGCTATGACACTTGTAGAAGTGGGAACCTGAAGACCAGGGACAAATGACACAACTAGAGTCTATTAAAAAGGTCTCCTTTCGCTCAAAAACTCCATATTCAATTGCATTTCCCCCTTCGCTCAAAAACTCCATATTCAATTGCATTTCCCCCAATTATTTAGGATATGGGTTTTGAAAATGAAGATTATTTTTTACCATTATAATGGTAATATTAAAAAAGGTAACCCATCTACAATTTTAATCTATGTTGTGGTGCAACAGTTTTAATTGTTTGTTGTTTATTATATATTGCTAGTATGTTCTTTCAATATCTTTATTCACTAACTTCCCTTTTATTCTGTAAATTATTTTTTCATATATAGAATTCTTGTACAAAATAGGCTTGAACTTCTGTTATTAATATCTAATATTAATATCTCTGTCCATTCATACACAATTTACATCAGGTTGCACCCCATTTCTTTGCTTATGGGGACCAAAATGAATAAAAGTTACTTACTTAGAAGATACACTGTCTCTTCTACAAAATTTCTCTGCTGACAGATCTCAAGAGCCTTCAATTAAAGCAGAGTAAAAATGTCACTATGAGGCTAGCAGACAAAAATAAATATTGATAGTCACTTAAACTTATAAACTTGAAAGAATTTTTCCACTGCTTTTCTTTGCAACAAAATAAACAAAATACAAATCTCCTAGGTCTTGCTGGCAGACTCATTTGTCTCTCAGAGTTACTGAATCCTACACAATTTCACTGACAAAATATTTGAAGTAACTCAGAACATTCTATGAGCAAAGGCAGAAAATATGATGCTGAAAAAAAGGACTGTTCCTAGTAGTATCTCTATGCTACTTCAAGTTTCTTTACAGCACTGCTTCCCATCAAATCTATAGTCATTTGTTTAAATTGTTTATTTTCTCTAGAATACAAGCTTCAGGAAAGTTGTTCATTGTTACTTTTTCCTAGCATTGAGCTTACCATATGCCCACTAAACATTTGTTGCCTAAATGAATGAATGAATGTAAATAATTGCAGCTCACGGTGTTTGAAAGAGAACTCTGCTCAAGAATTTGTCCAAAATGAGAGAGAAAAACATCTGATGATGATCAAAAAGGATCAGAAAGAGGAGATGAAGAAATGAGGGACTATACACATAATAGCATTTCTGTGTGTGTGTGCGCACGCGCTGATAAATAATTCTAAATAAACTGGCATACATTTACTATGCTTTGTGTAGGTTGCTAGAAGGCTGAGTTAGAGAAGATACAAAGAAGATGACAATAATTAAAATGTTAATGACGACCTGTGAGATGAGGAGAAAGGAAGAGGCTTAGGAGGAGTAGAGGCAGCATGAGTATACCATGGGAACTTAGAGTACAGGGAGAAGTGATAGATGTGACATGTTATTCCACAACTAGCAGAACATGAAAGGACAGTTATGTGCATGAAGAAGGGATGCTGAATTCATGTGGTTCCAATTCTGAAAAACTTCAGAGAAGAGATATCATTTGAACCAGGTACAGTTCAACAGGGAAACCTTATTTCATAGCCCTCCTATAAAACCTTCTCGCTGCACTGCTCTGCTCATACTCAGAGGGAAGAGTCTTTCTGGTATCCTACAAGGCATCCAACAGCTCTCTCTGCTCTCCTAGAGCAGGTTCCTTTCCTCTGCTTACCTCTCCAATGTGTCCCCTCTGCTAAACTGTTTCCTCACTCAACACTTTCTATCCTGGCAAGAACCTCAGACAAATATTCCTATGGCCCTCACATCAGGCCAGTTCCTAGGCATTCACTTCAAGCATGGCTTCACAATTCTTTACCAATTATTCATTTAATTTCCATTCACTAGGGTCATGTGTACTCTAAGTCCTATGATTTGCACAAAGCCTGACACATATGGGGTGTGCAAAACATATTTTTAAGAAGTGAGCAGGCAGTAAATATTTCAAGAGTAAGTTTACTGGGCTGCATATTTAAAATGGTTATTTAAAAACAACCAGCCAAGGTTGTTTTGTAAACAAGAATCCAGGAAATAAAAAGAACAGTTCAAGTTAATTAGCTCTTTCTGCTCAGTGATCTATCTTGGGAAATAACAGCAGGAGCTAGTTTTGATATTTTGATTTTTGACTTAAAATTTTTCTGTAGGCGATATATTTTAAACCAGCTAAGGGGCAGGAAAAAAAATGATCATAGAGATTAATGTAGCAAGAAAGGGAAAACAAAAAGAAAAAAACAAGCATCACCTTCTCAAGAACTGCAATGAAACAAGGATGGTATTTTAAGGTACACACACCACTTAAATAAGAAGTGAGAATAACTGAAGGTCACAATGAGAAGAAAGCATACAATTCAATGACTCACAAGATTCCTTTCAAATTAGGTGGCAGAGAGCACTAGTTGTCCTCTAGTATCCTCCTCCCATTTCTTCCACACTAATGGAGGAATTTTCTTACTTTCTAACATGGGTGTATGACCACCTGGACTTAGAGAAAACATCTCCCAGCCTCCTCAACTAGGAGAATGTATTTGTCTCAAATCAAAGTTTGCAGCTTCAAGGCTTGCCCAAGTTGCCCAAAAAAACAGCCACTTGTTCTATGTGGTTATTTAAATCTAAATTGATTTAAATTAAAAGTTGGGTCCTTGTGCACCTGTCATGTTTTAAATACTTAATACTGATGTGTGGCTAGTGCCAAGTTGGACAGAGTAGATTACAGAACTTTTTCAACTCTACTGAACATTTCAAGCAAAAGTGATGCCAAAATTCATTTATTACATATTATCAAAAATGAAAATTCATGTGGAAAGAAATGTCTGAAGGCAAGCTGAAATTACCAATGGAAAGGAATTCAAGAAGATGTGTATCACCAAATTCAAAGATAATCTGAAATGTGAATTTCATAAATAATTAAATGATTGTTACTAGAAAAGTATTAAAATTCTCCTCTTCATAAATGATAAGAGAATCTGAAAATCTCTAGAAATTTTAAGTATTAAAAAAGGTATTTCTAGTACACACTATTTTTCTATTAATACAAATATGGCCTAAGAGCATCTTTGATTCTTAAATGTTTCTGGACCATAGTGCTCCCTCTAGAGGAAAGAGTAGGGAATCTAAGATTTCTAAAGTGGGAGACAGGAATACACAAAGGCACTGTATTTCATTCACTATATGATCATTGCCATGTATTAACGTACATTCATGAGTATTCTGTGTATACTCATCTTGTACCAAAGACAGATTTTTAAGCAATACCAGCACTTTTTTTTTAAGCTTCTACATAATGGTCACATCCCACTATCTTGCAAAAGATTTTGGCATAAAAATCTGTGATGACTATGTAGTGAAACATGGATATATAGATGTAAAGGGAAAGTGGTATAAAATAAAAGTGAAAAGGTAGAAAATTAACAAATTGAGAAAAAATGATGCAAAAGTAATTTTTAACTCTCCTTTTTCTGATTAGTAAAGGTAAGGAAATTAGAAATTTGAGAGTAATAATAGAAATTTATCAACTGTAAATTAAATAATGACTTCTACCTAACCTTGACCCTGTCATCTTTTATTCACTTTTTAAATCCTTTTTAGTAAAAATCTATGAACTTTGTCTCCCAGCTTATTCCTCCAAATTCACAAATACTGCCACCTTGTGAGTGCTATTAGATATGAGAGAAAGCATAATTTCAGGTATAAATCTGCCAACTCTATAAAGCTGATGCTCTGCTTTTAACTATAATCAAATCAGATTAGCAAAATCAGGACCAGTGCCTAATAATCACATGTAGTAATACAGAAAAAAAGGACAGGCTGGAAGTTTAAAGGACTGTATTTTTCATGATGCCTACAATATTAAGCAATACCTAAGCTGTAATTTTAATTAACATTTTAAACATGAAAGATGATTCCTCATCATAGTAGAAGGATAGAGAGCCTAAAGTTTAAAAATCCATGTTCCAAGTCTTGGCCCTTGACATTTTAGCTCTGGGCTTTGGGATGTTTCTTTCAGCTCAAGACTCAGCAAGTTATGTATAAAGCAATTCTATCCATCTAGCAGCATGTCTGTAGAGATTAAATGTAACAAAGCACCTGAAAACACAGCACATACTATGAAGCATGACAGAAATATAAAGTTTTTTATTTTTATTTTTTTTTTTAAACTGATGCAGATGTTCTAAACAAACTATCTGTCCTTCAGAACGAACAATTCCATACAAAACTTTTGGTAAATTTTTGTATTTAAAAGATGTGGTAATTTTAAATCCGCAAACTCTCACGTTGGAACACTAGGCCCCCAAAGGGCTTTTGATGTGCTATCAGGGTATCTACAAAATTCTGGCTAAATACTACTGATTAAGGACTTCAATCAATTCAAAATAAAGTTGACCTGGATTCTTAAAGACTTCAACCAGTTGACAATTTGATATCAGCTGCCCTCTCAACAAAAGGAAACAACCTAAACTGAGCAAGAAATTGATTTTTTGGTGGGAAGTGTCAGGATTAAGTTTTTAATTTTATATTCAGGAGAGAGACCATACTTTCTATGAGTCTCTCTTTAGACAAAATAGGTAAACCTATATTACATGTCTTCATTCACTACTAGCATGCTTACGACCCGTTTAATTGGGGAACCTACTCTAGTACATACAGTAACTTTTTCATGTTATAAGTAAACATATATGGAAATAATATATGAGGTGATTAAGTATATACAGAATTCTTATTTTTAAGAAAAAAAGAATGATATCCTTTATTAATAAATCATGACTATCTCCTTTAAGATAGTTTTGGGTACCTGGACAAGAGTAATGTAAGGGTTCCCACAATAGATACTGACAAGTTCTGTCTAATGAAGACATCTCAATGACTTGTAACACTGAAGCCCTTCAGAGACTTTTACAAATGTAGATTATTGACTTTGTTCTTTTCTAAAAGTAATGATATTCTCCTTGCCTTATAAGAATTTATAGGTGAATGGGAAAGAGATAAAAAAAAGAGGTAATAATGGAACATAGCAGTGTTAGTGAAATATAGGAACAGAGGTGGATGTTTAGAGCAAATGTGGTCTAGGATCTAAGCTATCAATTTTGGCTTATTAAACTGGATTCCTCACTGGAGCAACTACTTTTGACTTTGGACAGAAGCAGCTCTGATGACTCAGCTCTGACTTCAAGGTGCCACCCTACTCTTGGGACACTGACTCAGACTCTTAATTTCAATTTAGTTTGATGGTTGACTGAGTCCTGGAATGTACATTAAACCTTTATGTCAATTAAGCCTGTCACAGAAATGCCTTAGCTCCTCACCAAAATCAAATTCAGAAGGACCTCCTGTTCTCATCAGAGCAGTCTGGCAAAACCTAAGCTTTGGTAGCAATAGTCTTTCCCTTGAACAGGGATATACAGAGGTGGGAAGAATGACAAATGACTTAGCAACAATGACAACTCCTTCTGAACTGTACAAGTCAGGTAGTCTGTACCTTACCTTTTCAAGTGGGCAATGGGTACTATCTCGGAGAAAAGGTAGTAAGTTTGGTCGATCATACTCAGCATAAAGACTGATCTGTTTTTCATGGTAGCGCTGCCCTTTATGATGGTCTCTCTTGAAGAGTTTATGCAAATACTACAAGGAACAAAAATAAACCATGAATATTAAAATAGGAGAAACACAAATAACAGTCAACATTGCTACTTTTGGTTATAAACAGCTCCCATAAAGAGGTGGGAGAGAAGCAGTGTTTAGGAAAGTAACCCAGATTATGTAGAAGTGGGAAGGAGAATGCCTCCTATTGAGCAAGGTGATTCTGATACTTCTAGAAGGTTTCTAAGTGAACTGGCTCTGCCATAACCTTGTGACCTTAAACAAGTCACTATCCTCTCTGAGACTGTTTCTTTACCCACAAAGGAGCTTACTGGGTTGCTGTGAGGATTAAATGAGTTACCATTTGTAAGTCACTCAAAACTATGCCTGGTATATGCTAAACACTATAGAATTGCTAACAATAGTATCTGTTAATATCACCTGTCATTCTCTGCTTTACCTCAGATATAAAATGTTTGATTAGTGTTCTTTCTAGAAGATAAAAACTCTTTTTTTAATCACAGAAAAAAGAACATGTTCTTTAAAACCCCAGTAGTGGGAGCAAAATTAACTCTCATTCATTCCCTGTTTTCCTTTTCGAATCTTAGTAAGATGTGTGGTTGTAATGAAAAGCTGCCTCTATTGGGAACATCAAAAAACAAAAGTAAAAATCAAGAGGAGTAAAGAGGTTCGGAACCATTTTTAAAATCTGATTGCTTACCCTAATTGTTTGAAAAAGCTAGTGAACTTCAAAGGAAGTGAATAATTCACTTTCTTCTTACATGCAAGATTGTCTATTAATACAGTACTCAGAAATCAATGTTCAATATTAATTAAGTGTAAATAAAAAGCTCACAACCCACTAGAGATAGAAGACTCGATCAAACCAATCACACACAGGGCATTCACACCTACAGTGATTGTAAACAGGTGAGTTGGTTCAAAATTGACACAGATCATCAGTCTGCCTGTAAAGCTGTGACTCTAAATGGGTGAGCTGATGTTTGATATTAGCTGTTGCATGTAACCATGACATATGTATGCACTAAAGAACCCACTCCTTGGGCTAACTGTTCACATCTCCCTAAATAAGGCAAGAAGGGCAGGAAAGAGTAGCATCAGATTGAACTCATCTTCTAGCCTGAGGTGTGATGAGGTAAACCACTAGGCATTGACAGTAGGGTCAGTGTATGTGGGCTGGGGTAGCTAGTGTTATTTCCCAGAAGCTCAAACAAGACAGGGAGGCTCTGCCCCATGTGCCAAGCCAAATTTATAGACACTGTATCATCTGTCAAGGAAGATGAACCATTTTAATGTGGATTCTTCCACCATTACCCTGGTTACTGTCACAGAGCCACCGCCTACAACCCTGTCTCATGGCTTAAGAAAGCCAGAATGCTTTATAAACAAATTCCCAAGGTGGCCAGAAGAGTGGAGCCTTCCTTGGGTAAGCAGATAATCTTGAGATTTCCGATTGTGAACAATATAGCAATAGCATCTGCACAACTCCTGAGCCACAAAAACAAAAGCAAAAAAAACATACCTTACATTTCTATTCTGTTTTCAAGAGCTTCAATGTATAAAACTAGCTTGAAAGAAAGATATTGTCCCTAGGCCTCTTCCTGGGGTACAAGAAGATGGGCAAAGATACTATATTTGATGCCGTGGTCCTACTGAAACGTTTTATAATTTTTTAAAGGACACAGAAAATATCTACTCCCTTAATAATGCAAAGCATGGAATAAAAGTAGCCCCCAAAGAAATCAAGACCAACAGGTGGAATACTACAAATACCAAGGCTACTAAAAAGAGATGAGATTAGCTACTGCCAGGGTGAGGGGTCAAAAAATGAAGCCCTGCTCTGATCACCCCTTGGTTAGAATGGTTGTATGCTATTTCTTTGGTGGAGAACTTGGTCTCTACACTGCACCTTCTGCTTTTGCTGTACTTTGCTATAGTTACGTTTAAAGGCAATTAAAGAGAGAAGGAGCTTACTCCTAGGCACAGTGGACAACACAGAAGTGAATACAACTTTTAAATCTCAATTCAATAGTTACGTTTAAAGGCAATTAAAGAGAGAAGGAGCTTACTCCTAGGCACAGTGGACAACACAGAAGTGAATACAACTTTTAAATCTCAATTCAATAGTTACGTTTAAAGGCAATTAAAGAGAGAAGGAGCTTACTCCTAGGCACAGTGGACAACACAGAAGTGAATACAACTTTTAAATCTCAATTCAATTGTAAGTCAAAGTTCAAGGGCCTGTTCTGCATTAACCCTAGCCCTGGATTCAAAACATATCACACCACATTTTAGTAATTTCAGAGTATTGTCTATGTAGTCAAATCTCCAGGTTAGGTATTAATCTCCATAAAGAAGTCCCTGACACTGAAAGGTGTTCCATCCCACTATTTAAACAAACGGGGAAAAGAAGACTTCAAAGCTCACCACATGCTGTAACTCCGGTCTGTCTTCTAATTCTTCCACTACCTTTTTAATCTAAGGAAAAAAATAGAAAATTTTAAACAGAGTTATGAGGACACAAACACAGCTGCAAAATTATCTGATAAACACCTCTCGTCTTTCTAGTTAAAGTAGTACTAGACACTTATCTAGTAATCTGCTGCGATGGGGTGACTGTGGTTTGTTTTCTGGCCAGAACTCATGCTGAGGATTGATTCCCCAATGTAACAGTCTGGAAAAGTGGTGGGGACTAGTGCGAGGTTGGCATGACTGCCCCAGTGAAGGGATAAGGCTGCCTCTTCTGGCTGTTATTAAAGAGCAAGTGCGGCCCCTCCCAGTGGTCTTGCTGCTTCTGGTGCATTTGACTTCATTCTCCCACAGATAAAATGCCGGCCTCTCCCACGTGTTCCCTGTCTCTCGCCATGTGATGCCCTGTGCCAGCTCAGGACTCTGCCTATGAGAAGGCATTCATTAAACATGGCCTCTTGACCTTGGACCAGAACCACAAGCCCAAATAAACATCTTTGTAATTTACCCAGTGTTTTGTTATTGTGTTATTAACAAATGGAATTACACATATAAAAAGCTACTCACTGAAATTTTATCTTCATTGTCCAAAAGCATGTCAACAGCTTTCTAAAATACAAAAATTAGCCACAGTCACTGAAATTTGCCACATAAGAACACTAAACACAACATAGTGTACACACTGCTACAGTAAAGGTGAAGGGCTTATTTTCTATGTTTAAGTTTTACAATGGCTTTTATGCAAAATAATAACCATAGAGGAATGCATTTTCAAATGTGTCTCAGTCTGAGGCCTATGTATTTTGCACACTAATAAGATGGTGCCCTGCTGTAACTTACCAAGCACAAACTATCCTGACATATTCTAGCCCCCAATGATGTCTCAATTATCCTCACAAATTTTCATGTGACTCTGGGGAGTGATGGAGAGCATCTCATTACCAAAACCTCAAAAATGAGCTTTTCTTAGTATCTGAAAATTGCCAATGCCTCCCTATGAGATTTCACAGAGATATAGAATCAGTCTTGTATAGAGAAGAAGGTAAGAGTTGGAAAAAGAATAAGACACCAAAAGTCTCACAGTGTATGAAGCTTACAGACTTTTGGAATTTACTTTAGCCACCTTTAAAATTCATGAAACATAAATGAGTTTATGATAAGAGAGAAGAAAGCTCATCAGACTGAGTGTTGTGAAGAATACCCAGGTCCTGTTCTTGAATCGGCTACCACCTCGCCATCCAAACTTTATTTTTGTTCTCTAAAATATGAAGTGTTGGAATAGATTATTCCTAAGGTCTCTTCTAACTAGAAAACTCGGATTCTTAACTTTGGCCCAAACTCTTGAATAGCAATTACTCTCAGCCCTTTCATCTTTTCCCACAGTTCTACATACAAAATTAGACTCAAGACACCTGGGATGATGGGTGGGCATGAGGGAAGACTGGGTATGGGGAAAATGTAATTAATTTTTATATATGCATGCCATCCTCTTAATCATCCTTTGCCAGAGAAATAGAGCCCCTCTACCTGAACTTCATTCTATAAGATCTATAGCCTTAATAGACTTGAATCAGTATAAAAAATAGACTAAAGTATCTTTGAGAAAAAGAGGTATATGTAGATCTTATCTAAATAAGATTAAGTTAATGGAGATTAATATAGCATATAATACCCCTAAATACAGAAAAATACAATTAAATGCATTATAATATAATGCATTAAAATTTAAGAGCTTTTAGAATCCTACTTTTTCATTTATCTAAAATTTCAATTTTCTGAATGAGATCATTATGTTTCATGAACCTCATTATTTTTCTCATAAACATTTGTAATTAGATTCTTTTTTACATAGAGGAGGATTTTATCATGTTATAAAGCAAACGTGAGCCATGGAGGCTGGTCCTGTCATTAGTCAAGCAAACCACTTTTCAAATGTGAGCTACAGTAAATAACACATTCCACATGTCCTGAACCTGAATATCACCAAAATCAGTAAAAACTGCACATGCTGGATCTGTGACTATCAATGAATAAAACAACAATAAATGGATCTAAACAGAGGTTCACTTAAATTTTAGTTCTAGGACATAGATTAAGAGGGTTAAATGAGCCAAAGTATACACGTACGTAGTTTGTTTCTATGAATTGTATCATTTTTTTTACTAAAAAAGTTACTTTACACACACACACCCTTTTGAGTTCTACATCAAATTACAATTGCTTTTACAGAATCACCACACCAAAGAAAGTATTCCTGAATGTTGATTACTAAAATAACAACATCCAATGAAAAGGGTCAGAATATTCAAGCATAATCAGTACATGGCCAAGCTATTGAGCATTTAGACAGATGTCTAATGATTAAACAGTTGGAAAAGGGAAAATATCAGTACAAATAAAAAATACATTACCTCTGAATCAAAATCCATTAATAAAACTATTTTATCCTTGATTGAACTGAAAAGATTATGCTTGTGTATCAGTTGGAAAACGTCTTTATGTCTTAATGTTAAGTATATTTCCAGAGCATTGCCATAGTTTTTGTCATAGGTATACCTGGTAAGAAAAATTTTTTACATTAATGTTCATCAGCAGTTATAATAAAAATACACTTGCACAGAAATTATGTTTTTATAATATTAAAAAAAATTTGTTCAGATAAGAAAGATAACTTAATTTTTGAGAAATATTCCTTGGGATTTAACAATTCATGACCAGTAAGTGCTTTTTCCTCAGAACCCTGCTTTCACCTTACTAGAATTCCAGAAAATTTATAACATTCATGAATAAAAAATTTTCATTGGGGGGCTCAGCCTCAAAAAGTTTTACAGAAATCGTTTTACAGAAATCCATATACCAGACAATGAAGCTATGATCCAGAATGAAGGACATATTCATTTCAGAAACAGAAAAATCAGATAAAATTCTTACAAGCAGTATTCAGCTGACAAATTGTTTATATTCCAAAACCTTATCTATAAGGTGTTATATAAAATTGAAATGTTTTTCCATTGAAACAGTTTGTTTTTTTTTTTTACATTGATTAAGTCCCTCAGCCTGCTCCTGAAAGCCAACTGAACAAAAATTAGACGTCAGTTCCTTATTAACAATGCTACAGAGTCCAAGGGGCATCTGGAACAATATTTCCAAGAGAAAATGATTAGTGTTCCAAGTCAGAATGCCACAAACATAACTTCTTTTGTGAAAAAGTTTAACACAGTCTTTTCCTGGTCCTGGACAAAGATGGGAGACAAGAGGTCTGAGGTGGTAAGGTTTTGAAGAGAGTCTGAAGCCCACAGGAACTGTCCTCTAGACAGACCTGCACAATTCTACATGTTTCCCTAGACTGAGGCTCCATGAGGGAATATCTTATCTTTGTATCAGAGGCATCTGGCACAAAGCCCGATCAAAGTGTCCAATAAATATGAAAAAGGTTAACGAAGCTCCCATTTGCTGAGCCTTGATTTGGTGTCTTGCACTGCTCTTATTTTGCTGTTAGTTCCTAAAGGGAACCTGTGATTTTATATATTTGGAGTCTGATGTTTGAGAGACTGACTGGAAAATCTAGGAATAACAGAATCCAGAGCCTGGCTCAATGGAAAACTGTTTTACTCGAGAGGTCTAACACCTGACAGCCTTCCCACCTCCTACCCATTGCCCCAGAGTACCCTCTCCTTTGGGAAACAGATCATATTATAACTGAACAGTTTTACATACTGACCTTACCTTCTACTTGTTCATTTAACATTTATGCAAGGTTTTATTTTTATTAAGAGTGAATGTGGGAAAATGACATTAGAAAGCATCCTCTCCACTCAGAGTTTGCAGAAGTCTAAAATATACAGAGTGATTTGCAAAGGTAAAACAAAACAAAAAACTCACAATTCAGCCAGGGTTTTGAGTAAAGTCTTGTTCTGACTATCTTTCTTCAGGTGGTCTCGAACTGCTTGAACTATTACTGAATTGTTGTACAGATCTCCAGGCCATTCTCGGATCAGTGTAGCAAAACCCTAACCAAAGAGGAACAGCAGAAAAAGAACAACACTCTTTAAACAAGTGTAACACTGTGATATACAGTTTGGTTTTGGTCCATGGTTCTTGGCTCATAATCTCCTCCTCAAAGCAGGCCATGGAAACTTAAGACCCTCCTCCTTCCAGAGTGGTTCTGCTCCACACCCTCCAGGAAGAAATGTTGAACAATTTGACCCTGCAGGCCTCACTGCGTTTCTGCACTCAGGCCATTAGCAATCATGCCTATGCAATGGTGTCTCTCTAAAATCCAAAAGGGCAGGGTTTGAAGAGCTTCCAGAGAGCCAAACACTGTAAAAATTCCTTGAGGGTGGTGTGCATGGAGAAGGCACAGAAGGTCTATGTCCCCTCCCACACACCTCACCCTATGCATCTCTTCATCTATATCCTTGTTAACATCCTTTACAATGAAGGGTAAACAGGCTGGCCAGAGTTTTGTGAGCAGCTAGGACAAATCACTTGAACCTGAGGAGGGGGTTTATGGATGCCCTGGTTTATAACCAGTTGGTCAATAGCACAGTGTGCAACTGGCAAATCAGGAGGGTAGGAGAGGGAATCTTGGGAACTGAGCTCTTAACTTGTGGTATCAGACATTGTGTCCAAGTGGACAGTGTCAGAATGAAACTGGATTAGAGGACAACAGCTAGTGCCACTGCAGAACTGCTTGCTGGTGGGGAGAAGTCCCTACATTTCTTGAAGTCACAGAAGCCTCTGTGTGGATTGTGGGGTGAGAACACAGGAAAATAGTTTGGTTTTCAAACACAAAAATAGGATTACAATCCAGTTTCAACAATACTTAACAGATATATATGCAACAGACAGTGATTTTATGATTAAAACTTGAGTCAAATAACCATTTGATAAAGTGATCCCACTCCTCGGCATATTACCTGAAGGATTCAAAATCAGCATACCACAGTGACACAGCCATATCAATGTTTACAGCAGCTCAATTCACAATAGCTAAGCTATGGAACCAACCTAGGTGCCCTTCAAGAGATGAACAGATAAAGAAAATGTGTTACATTTTCTAAATGGATGGAACTGGAGACTATTATGCTAGGTGTAATAAAGTAATCCCTCAAATCCAAAGGCCAAATGTTGTCTCTAATATGTGGATGCTAATTCACAATAACTGGGGGGATGGGTGGGTGGGTGAGAATAGAAGTTGACTGGATTAGACGGAAGGGAAAGAGGGAATAGGAAATTGGACATAATTTTCGTAGGTTCTTGTATGAATACATGACCAGTCTAACTCCACATTGTGTACAACCACAAAAATGGGAAGTTATACTCCAGTATGTATGATCTCTCAAAATACATTCTACTGTGATGCAGAACTAAAAAGAACAAATAAAAATAAAACTTCAGTCATAAACTTTTCATCAATATTCTAACTATGGGTTTCAGGGGGCAAAGTAAAATATGGAGAATATAACTACCATAATCTCCATTTATTATTCTTGGGAAGTAGGTTGTGCTATCCATTTCTGTTCCTATTTTTATGAAATGTACAACTAGGTAAGGCACCCTGTTCTTTACATAAAGTACTGTTGTACAAGCAAGGTTTAGCTTTGAATTGTTCTATACTCATTTTGGACAGCTATAACACATGGATGAAATTGTTAACATCTAACAGTATCAAAGTCAACTACTTTCCCCAACACCTTCTATGCACTTTATTTAGGTCTGGACACACTGTTGTGCACTGCATAGCAAGTACAACTGTACATGGCGGCTCTGTGGAGGACAAAGCTGCTTCCACAAATAAAATCATCTGGCATAGTAACTTTAAAAGTTACCATGTCTGACCTCCTTCCAGTCTGGCTTCTGACCCACGTTTATGTGGGAATTAGAATTTTGATTAAAGTCTTATCCTCTAGCCCTTACTCTGGTTATATCTGGATCTCAAAATTTGTGGTTCTGAGAGAAACCCCAGATATCCTGATTTAATTCTGTTCTCCCTGACAGCTGATCTTGGCCAGTAGCCTATATAGTACCTGCCTCCCAATGTTAACGTTCATGTTTTATAATCCTAAGTAAGTTGAGTTTACTTATTGATCTTTGACAACTTGGGAAGGGGTGGATTAGATATACTCAAAAGACAGAAAAAGAGAAGTAAAAATATCCATATTACTAGAAAAAATTGATATTAAATATTACATGATAACACTATTAATGCTTTAATGAACTACTTTAAATTTATTTAAATGTTATTCAGAGCCAGGTATTGTGGTGCACATCTATAATCCCAATGCCAATGGAGACTAAGGCAGGAGGATCCTAAGTTCGAGGTAAGCTGCATCAACATACTGAGACTCTGTCTACAAAAAAAGGGGTTGGGGATGTAGTTCTGTGTTAGAGAGCACTGACTTCAATCTCCATTAGAAGAAAGTTATTTAGAAGTAAAAACAGACTGGTACAAGGTGTTTCTATAAAGTGCCAGGATTTGATAAGGAGAAAAACCACAGAAGAATCAGGAATATCGCTCCCACTAAAGTTTCATCCAGTTTTGACTAAAGTAACCCCCCTAGTGAGGATGGCAAGAGAGCAGAGCAACAGACCACACATTTTCCCTCCAAATTGCAACCTTCATATTAGCATGTAAAGTAATTTGACTTTAGAGATTTTAGGGAGGGAATTCAATCAGAACACAAAATGTTCCTGAATCAAAATGACACTATGGATTAAGCTTCTCTTTTCTTAAGACCGTGCAATATTTAAGCTAAAAGAGTCTGTAAAGAATTCTACCTTAATAATGGCAGCAATCAGTAACCTTGAGACCAGAAATAATACTGTTCAAAGGAAGAAGAAAGTTTGGCTCCATTTCCTCCTTTCCCTAACCATGCAATAGCCTCGCAGTACTGCCAACTTCTAACAAAGAAAAAGGACTAGTCATATTGTGTGATAAAAGCAAGATGACCCCACTGTAAACTGACATAAACACTACATTTCACGTTAGGCTTCTTCCTGCATAACTGGCTTCACACATCCTGGAATAAATGTGTTACCTAAGAAATACTGATAAATTCAACCCAGTGACCACAATGATTAATTAGAGGACAGTCAGTGAAGAACTGTTGTGATAGAGTGAACAAAGGTATAGAACACCTCAGTGCCCATTACATAGAAGTAAAAGGTTAAGAAGTATTCATTAAATTAAATGCCACAGAAATTGTACCACTTTTAACATGCTTATACAGTAATATTAACTAGTCAGTATTATAATAAGACCTATTTAAAACAATTCTATTAGGTTATAAATTAACAGGCAAAGCTATAAGCATAGGACTAGAAACTCTATGAGACTAGAAACATGTCATGAAGCGCATCATTACCTCAAAGAAAATCGTATTACTTTATATCTTTTTAGGAAGAAAAGAAAATTGAGAAGTCAATATTTCAGAGAAGTACATTGGGTGGGGGATATGACTGTTAATACTCTGTTGACAGCACAAAATTTTCATACAAAAGTTGTTATGGATCACTACTATTATGTGACAATTTAATTCAAAATTTAAACATTAAATTGAAAATAATGTAAGCTACAATAGGAATTATGCATAGAACTTGTAACAAAAAATTAGTTATAATTTTCTCAATACTACTGATCTGGCAGACATCTTAAAACATTGAGGAGAAAATATTTGCAAGCTTGAGATTTAAGTCATGCTTATTTCAGTCTCAACCAAAAGTTTCCCAGACATAACATGAATTAATGGGATAACTTTGATGATAAAAAATTTAAAATAATTTAAGAGTTGATATACGTGAAAGAATTACAACAGGATCATAAAGATAAACTTTCAAGACTTCTTAAAATTTTCTATTGAATACAAACAAATCTGTTCATGTCAGAATGCCGTACCTCATAATCACTTTCCAAAAACTCATGTAAGACCATTTCATATATGAGTGGCTTCAGAACTGGATCTCCTCTTGGCAAATAAGGACTAACAGCCTGTGGAAGGAAAGGGAAACAAGAATTCTTTAAAAGGTGGCAAAACAAAACTATATTCCCATTACACAGATAATATAAAAATATATTTTTGTTTTTAAAATTTTAAGACTCAGGAATAAGAGTACTCTGGAAAATTATTCTGAAAAGATGCAAATGAACTATACTTTCTAACAACAAATAATGATACATTTTCAAAAGTATAAAATTATAAAATCAACTTGTTAAATAATCTAAAGTATAAGTCACCTATACATCTTTCCTTCCTGAAACTGAAGTACACCAAACAACTCACAATCATGTTTTGAAATAGGAAAAATGCATCTTGCATTCTTCAGATATTTCCAAATATAGTTCAATTTCCTTCTACTCACCCATTATCATGCTTTGTACTGGGGACAGTATCCCCAAGAAGCTTAGTGTCCAAGAAGGAAGATATAAAGAGAAATAAACAGATACTGGTGATACTGTGTGGTAAATATTATGAGAAAGGGATTAACAAAGGGCTGTGGACATAGTGGAGAATCTTATGTCTGTCTGTATTTATTTATGGAAGTGCTGGGGATCTAACCTAAAGTCTTGTGCATGCCAGGCACTCTACCAATGAACCATACCCCCAACTCCACAGAGGAGAATCTTGTATGTTATGGTCCTGAATTTATCAGGCAAAGGCAGAAGGGGAAGCGGATCTGGCAGGGAACAACATGAACAAAGGCATGCAACCACAAACATTTGTGTTCAAGGAAGACACAGGGGCCCAGAGATGAGAGAATTAGGTCCCTGAAGGTGCAACTGGAGAGGAAGAGAGGTGGGGTCATGAAAGGAACTCAATTTTATTCTATGAGGAGGAGGGAAGCAACAGATAATAGGGAAGTGAGAGTCCAGATTTATTTTTTAAGTAGATATCTTTTAACCAGGACTGCCCCTAGAACAAAACTTTAGCAAGGGATGCCTCTAGATCTATCATAAGGTCCTTGTAATGTCAGGCAAGAGTTAAGGAAATGGCACTGAAATGGAAGTGAAAAGGCCCAATTAGTTGATTTGATAAAACTGACAAAAACCAGAGATTAAATGGAATGAAGAGGTAAATTGAGGAAAATATTCTCACTAGGATAGTGGCTCTTGAGCCATTAAGAATGAGAATGAAAATACTGTGTGTTATAAACACACATTCAAAGGAAAATGACCAAATTTGGGAAGGACATAGATTTACCTTAATTTGTATTATCATTATTAGAAATACATATGAAGAGAATTAGCCATCATAACAATTCAAAAGAATTGTCTGGGTTATACAACCATCAGGTAAGCAGGCCCATGAAAGTTTGGATGAAACCTTCTAGGAAAAGCCCAATAAGAAATGGAGCTGGGGTGCTGGGGATATAGCTCAGTTGGTAGACTGCTTGCCTCCCATGCACAAGGCCCTGGGTTCGATCCCCAGTACCACATATGGAAAAAAAAAAAGAGAGAGAGAGAGAGAGAGAAAAGAAATGGAGCTAGGGTCCAACTACAGAAGAATAATCCTTTTTTTTTAAATTTAAACATTCTTTTCTTTTTTTAATTCTAATTTGTTATATATGACAGCAGAATGCATTACAATTCATATTATACATATAGAGCATGATTTTTCATATCTCTGGTTGTACACAAAGTAGAGTCACACCATTCGTCTCTTCATACATGTACTTAGAGTAATCTTTATGGGGCAAGCACAAGAGTAAGCAGTCATGGAATTGATAAGCCAACATAATTGGGACATCTAAAAAATACATTCATATCTCCATTAGAGCATTCAACAGGCTCAGAAAAATTTAAAAAAATGTTTTAAACAAACATAAGAACACTTTACTGATTTGAATGCTGTATACTAAGTTTAAAGATTAAAAAATGAAGCAGCAAAATAATTTATTTGAGCTACATGGTCAAATTTCACCTTTTCACAGGTAAGATATTTGAAAAATACATTAATTCTTCAGTAAATTTGAAAAAGGTCTTATGTTTTACAATTCAGCAAATAAAATTATACCTGGCTTCCAAAGCCATTATTTAAAAAGAACATGAAAACTTCATCTAAATAGAGAGAAAACTGTAGTGGTAAAAGGTTAGAGAGACCATCTCATATATGTAAATATACATAGTATACACACACCCAAAATTACAAACTATGCTTTATGTTTTGAAACTAATTGCCAAGTTTGATTTTTTGATTTTTCTTTCCCGCTGATAAAATACTTCCCAATAAAGAAGTGATTATTATTATTTTATTTTCATTTAACATGCAGAAACTAAGAGTTAAAAATAAATCTTTGTTTACCTTAAGCTGTCCAATTTCTTTAAATTTATAAACTTCGTATTCCCAGAGGGCTGCATTTTTCCCAAGGATTTTCTGGCATTTGCTGCAGTAAAAACATTCCAGAGAGAAACAAATTACAAATAAATAATTTAAATAAATAAATAGATGGAATAAGTAGACATTTTCCCCTGTGGTTTAGATAAATCTCTCTTTGAAGGTTTTGACAAATTTCTTTCTCATGTGCTAATTAACATGAAGTTATTACTGTTACTTGGTTGCATATACAGTTTGCCACAAATCATGAAAATTACACAAAATAGTTATAAATCCAGATAAATCTCTTTCAGAAGATTACATTAGGGGTTTCCCCAATGATTTTCCTGTTTTAAGTGTACTATTTGTCTGGATCAACACTGCTGGTTTGGGGCCCTTTTTTGCCTTGAAGAAAATTCATCATATCCAAAAATATCAGTTCCTCCTGAACTGATTTAAATAATAGGCTACAAAATGAGACTTTAAAGTCCCATCTTAGAATGTAATCTAGATTACTTATGTATGAATGAAATTTATTGTTTTTATTAACATATTAGAGAAACACAGTTTCTTAAATAATCTCAGGGAACTAAAGGCTACCTTCCAAGGATGCTGCATGGTCACAGAGATGGGCACTGCAAAATTCCAAAAGGATCACATGACCAATATATACATGCATGCTTTCTGCCCACCAAAGGCCCCAGCAACCTGGGAGCCTATGGTTTTACCATTTCCATTTAGTAGCCAGTTTCTCCTTGGGAAACAATTCTCCTGAAATTGTAAGCAGAGGCATTTTGTTCTGGGCTATCTTTCAACGGCCCTAGACAAAGACAGTATCTCCCTCCAGAGTAGAGGGCAGCTCTGCTTACTGTCCAGTACAATGAAGGCAAAGTCTTTTTTCTGGGTCATTGCCCTAGAAAAGATATCCCAGGCTCAGGACTCCACCCGAATAACACAACACACTGCATAGGCAGAGTCACTGGGCCACCTCCATGTTGTTCTAAGGGAATGGGGATTGAGGATTGGGGACCTAGGTTAAAAGATGATACATTGGTTACTAAAACCATTGAGATAGTTCTTTAGCTCTGACCCAGGAGTCTCATATCATGTCTTCTGCTTAACAATGAAACTGTGGCAGGCTAACTTGCTAGCTTATAAATGGGAAAATCCCACATTCTTCATGGATCTTGACACTTTTCTCATTAAATATATGAGAAACAATTCTCCTTTTGGTAAAAGTGCAACAGAAGTTGCAGAAATAACAGATATTAATCTATTCTGTGATTGAAACCACCAATATTCAAAATTACTCCTGTTAGAAAGATGTTTAAAAAAAACACCAAAATGTCTGTTAAATAGAAGAATGAACGATTGCTGTTGTTAACATTGACCTGTTCTATTTGTATTAGTAAAAATTGTGAAAATGTGTTTATTACCGTGCTGCTATGTCATATTCTCCTCTCTCCACCAAGTGATTTATATATGCCAAGCCGATATCCTAGAGAAAATGGAGGAATTTCAAAATTCAAAAGGAACAACTGAAAAGCTGAATCTGTTTGTAAGCAGGCCATGATGTTAAGGTCCTATCGACAATAGTGATATTGCAGTTTGCTTTATGCAGTTATGCTTGCTTCTTTCTTTAGTATATTAATATTTAAAAGTACATGTATTTGTTTTTATATGTATATTAATTTTTTTGGGGGGTGGTGGTGCTGGGGTGTGAACCCAGGCCTCTTTACCACTGAGCTACATTCCCAGCCAGGGTTTCCCAAGTTGTCCAG